CAGTTGAAACTCTATTTATGTCTGCCTCCCCTGCTTTCCCAAGATAAAACATGATCTTGGAGTTTATGTGTTTTTTTCCATTTATACATTTGCTACAAATGCATATGTATATAGATAATTGTTGGTATTGTATTGTGTATTTTTTTACAAAAATAGAACTATCTCTCATTTTGACCTTGTTCTTTCTCCTCAATTTTATGAGTTTCAGCTTGGAGTCTCAGGCATGTTACAACAGTAAGGATATTAGTGAATATCCAGCCACTACTTGTTTTATTAAATTAATCTTAGTTTTAAGAAATTGTGATTATATAAAATTAAAAATATATATTCAATTTCTATTCCATATACAGAATTATCATCAATATGCTTAGATACTTCCTTCCAGTCTTTTTATATATCAGTGTTTTGCATAATTAAAATAAAATGTTAATATTGAGATAGTCATTTAATATTATATTATCATTTTCCCCCCATTCCTACATGATCCTGTTGACAGCTGTGTTTAAAGCCTTTAACACTATCTGTCTAGTGGATAACCATCCCTCTATTCTGATATATTTAATATATTTTTGTTTTATAACCTTCTTTAAAAATAAGACTGCAATAAATGAAATAAAAATAACCTCTGTACTTGTTAGTTTTATTATATTTAGTGTTATTTCCTCAGATTAAATTGCAAAATCTCTTGTAAAATATCTGCCCTGTTACACATTTTTATTTGGTATTGTAAGGTCAGAGGAATATGAATGTATGGTTAGTATAATAAATATTTATATATGGACTTTTTCATATATATAGAAATTATCACATTACCTTCTTCCCGCCAGAACTAGGAAATAAGAATAGTAATATTGCCTTTAAAAAGTTAAATGACAATGAATCAGAACAGAGATAATGTCAAATCACCTAACCCGATTGAATATATTAACATATATAAAGAAAAATGTGTTAACCAAAGAGCTTGCTTTGCAGTCCCAGAGGCAAAATCTCACTGCTATGTCTCATTGTAAATTAATAAATTAATTAAATGAATAACTCACTTATTGTGATTCGACTTCCTATAAAGATTGCCCACGGGAAGAAGATGGCCTTGTCAAGCAGATACAAATATTCCAGTTTTTGAGGCAATTACCTTTCTCCTCGCAAATTGAATTGACATTTAGTCCCAAGATTCTGTTTAGCATTAGTCTGCCACTAAGAGATAAATCCTCTAAACCTAAAATCAGGTTTCAGAATATATTAAGGCATTTGATCAGACTCCCCATCAGACCCTTCCTGTCTTGGGGGGGCTTCCAGTAGACAGCCATGTCATTTTTCCCATAATAGAACTCATTTAATTCCATAAAATCAATCTTTTCCTTCACGGCTTTCCTTATTGCTTCTACATATAGAAACTAAATTCCTTCTAGAGACTTGTAAAACATTCAGTTTTATTAGTTCTATTGTTTGGTATTTTAAGCATTTACCAATTTAATTCATTCAGTAGGTTGTATATCAAGAAGAGCTCACCATTCATTCATTCATTCATTCATTCATTAGTATTATAGCTTTTTACCAAGTGACTACTAATGAAAATCTACATTTTTTTCAGGTGCTAAAAAAAAAGAACTGTAAAAATCTCAGTCTAGAGGAAATAAGCCAGTTTGCAGTGCCTTGGAAGGTCAGCCAGTGCTTGTGGGTGTTGGAAGCGAGGGACCCACCCAAACCCTGGCGGGCGGGGCTGGGGCTGGAGAAATGGGAGACGGAGTGTGGGAGGGGGAGGTGCAGGGGAGGTTGGGAGTCGGATTAACGGAGCATTCCGGACCACAGCCCCAGAAATGAAAGAGAGCAAGGCTTATTTGGGCAATGTGAATATTTATAAAATAAAAAAGAGTAAGAGAATAGGGGCTGAAAGATTCTCAGAGGGTTGGACAGGAGGAGAAAACAGTGATGGATCAGGACTTTGTTTATTCCAGGGGCCACTTGGCAGGAGAATTCCTACTGAAATCCTAGACCATTGTGTTTAAAACTGTCACGGGGGTTGGCAAGCTTTTTTTTATAAAGGGTCAGATAACAAGTATGCCAGAAGGTCTCTGTCACAACTATTGATCTCTGCTGCTTTCACATGAAAAGAGTCCTAAACTATATATAAACAAATGGACGTGGCTGCATTCCAATAAAGTTTTATTTATATAACCAACAGCAGACTGGCATTGCCCATGGCCCATAATTGACTCATCACTATTACAAAAGAGTTTCTGCAGAATAGCAGATAATCATGTTTGGAAATAACAGAGGTCAAATAAACTCACATCTGAAACCACAGGGTAGGTTTTGTCTATTTGCAGAAGCTTTTATCCTATTTCAGTTAGAACTCTTCTTTCAGGAGAATAAGCATTAAACAGGGAATTAGTAAAAAAAATTATTTAATGAATAAGGCAGTTAATAATACAGATAATTATTCATCCCAATGCTTTCAGCAGAAAATAAAAACCTCAAAATTTGTAAAATGTGTAAAAGTAAATGCTTTACATTTGTATACTATTTTAAAGAATACATTATTTCTGCTAACTTTCATAATAACCTTAATATACATGAAACTTGAAGACAGGATATATATTTTATTCAAATTATTCTAGGAACCCAGGAAAATACCTGGTACAGATGAAATTGTGTTAAGATACATTTAAGAGAGCAAATATCATATTTTCTATAAAACATATGAAAAATTGGGTCTTAGGTTAAATGTTTTAATAAGGTCGCATAAACAATGTCAAGGCAGAACTAAAATCCAGATTATCTGAGTGCTGGATTTTTAATTTCATTTATACTCAACGATCACAGATATGAAAAGGATCACAGGGCTAAACATATAGCATAATTAATGTCATATGAATACACACAGATTATGAAAATGTCTTTTATGGAATTAATGTATTATCTTTGTTTGCTCAGAACTCCCCTTCAGAAAGGAAATGCATCTCATCTTCACTCCAGAAATACCACGTAAATGCAAGGGAAACGTCTTTGACTCAACCTACTTAGGCCATAGATGGGCAATCTAGCTCAAACTAAGCCTGAGCACTTAAGACTGTAAAAAAGAAACTTAGAAGTTATTAACATACGTTTTATCATGTGGATTGGGGACAGAGATATCATGTGGACAGAGATATCTAGCTTGCAACAAAAGAGAAGAATGAAGCAATTTACAGAGAAGCTTTGGAATAAAATTTGGGGAGAGAGTACTGAGCAGATTCGAGTTGGTTAAGCTGTTCTAGGTACCTAAATATAATCTCATCCCTGGGTTCCGTAGGGGATCCTATGGTTCCTGACATACTGGATCATTTCCATTTTGGTTTGTTTCTGTTTTTAGCCAGTTTTACAAAGTAATGACTAATACGGAGTCATTAAGTGGACACTCGGTCAATGTTTATCTGTGTTTATCTGACTTGAGTCTGGAGAAAGTCTACATTAATGAAGTTAAGAGGGGAATTAAGAAAGTTACCCAGGGGGAAAATATATACAAATTACTCTTTTCTAAAATCTTTAGGTACAAAGCTAATATTCCCCAGTGGAAAAAATCCACCTGACTAAATGGGTTAGCTTGATACCAAAGTAGCTGTGCCATTACTTAGGTTTGTATAATGAGCTGGCTAAATTCAGAGGGAATTCTGACCTGCTGTATTCCAGACAAAATGCTGACTGAGGCTGCTCAAAATGACAAAGTGGGCTTTTCTCTACCACCAGAACAGAGCAGTTGAAAAAGTCTCTTGGCCTGCCGCATCTCTGTGTCAGTTCAGAGATGGGCAAGGATCCACAGAGTGTGGTCACACTTCTATATCTGATTTATAATTGAAAAATATTTAGATGACAGATAGACATAAGCATGCCCAATTAAGTCCTAAAAAATTCAATAGAGGAATCTATTCCCCTTCAAAATTGCACAAGGGGATTTGGAATAGGGACTTAGTCTCTTTGGAATAAAGGAGACTAGAGGATTGTATCAAACTATCAGCAGGTGTGTGTGATAAACATGCCTCCTCTTTTAAATATATAATATGATCTTCAAGGTTAGTGGTTCTCCAGGTCTCCTCCCAGGACCAACTGCATCGGCATCACCTGGGAACTTGTCAAAGGTACAAAGTCTTGGGTCCCACTCATGACTACCGGATCAGAAACTCTGGGTGGGGCAGCCATCTGTGACTCTAAGGCGTACTGCTACAGATTAAATTGTGTTCATTCACGCCCCTTCCCCCATCAGATTTGTATGTTGAAGCCATAAACACTAATGTGATGATATTTGAAGGTGGAGTCTTGATGGGAGATAGATTTCTATGGGTCATGAGGATATGGTCTTCGTGATAGAATCAGCACCCTTAAGAGATCAGGGTGCTTATTCTCTCTCTTCTTTAAAAAATTCTTGGCTTTGTGTCTCATTCCAAAAAAATGAAAAGAAAAGTATGTTGGGACAAAATCCAGGGGTCTCATCATAAGAAATATCCTTGATATTTTTAAATAAGTGTCACTATAGTTATCTTGTTTCTCTTGCTAGAAGATAGGATGTTTGGTCATCTTATTCTGTGTGTTTATGATATTATAAGATGGCTTCCCCTCCACCTGCTACATCATTGAAAGTCACTGGATTGTATTTTCCAGTTTATGTGTTAGGGTGTCAGGAAAATAATGACTTACCATGTTATAAAACTTTCTAAATAGTAAGAAAAATTATATAATATTTAGAACATCATAGCTGTTGAATTTTCTAGTGATGGGAACATAATCTTCGAAGAGTTCTCATTGATGTAACTTACACAAATGCTCAAATGGAGAGAAGAGATTCTACTCTTCCGCTTTGACTGATGTGGTGCTTCCAATTCAACTCTTTGCCGTATGTGATGCTAGAACATTTAAAATTTATTACAATAAATGGCCTCTCTGAAAAAAAGTGCTAAAATGATTTTTTGACAAGCGTTATAAAACTGTATCAATATAGAATTAACCTCTGCTTGCTTCCATTGCAGCTCCGTCTAGGACAGCCCGCCTGGTTGATGGTAATGGCCCTCACGAAGGCCGAGTGGAGATTTTCCATGATGGCCAGTGGGGTACAGTCTGTGATGACCACTGGGAGTTACATGGGGGACAGGTCGTCTGCAGGAGTTTGGGTTACCACGGTGTTCTAACAGTGCATAAGGGAGCCCATTTTGGACAAGGTAATTTTCTTTAATTTTTTTCTTTAAATAAAGCATGGGCATTCTTTTATATGCAGAAGCAAGCAGAGACAGAAACTTATGGGATAGGCAGAAAAATTCTATGTAGGATGTTTTAAAATGGCCTTTCTAGAAAGTAGAAATGAAAAGAAAGGGATATTAAAATCAAAGGCTATATGCTCTCAGACAACCTTTAGCAATTCAATTTTATTTAGATTCAATTGGTTAGTTGGAGGGTACTAACTAACACAGAGGAAAATAGAGTGGCAAAGCTGGATAGGTGAATGAACTACTTGACCGCTAGAATCTATAAATCAGACTGTTCAAAGAGCAGGATGACTTACTCCGCAGAGAGATGACGACCCAAAGTTCTTCAGTTTTAGAAATAACAGCATGTGATGATCTGAATTTTGGGGATGTGCCTTTGCTGACAAAATGAAATCTACTTTCTCAATGGTCTATATATAATTGAATCAATGTGGACTAACTGAATAGCTCAGTACAAAGAGACTAATAACACTAAAATCACTTTCATCAAGATGACTTACACCTTACATTACCCAGAGAGTTGACAACTCTGCATTTAACTTTGTATCTTTAAGGGACAAGCCTGGTAGTTCAATTTATTAATTTCTCCCATCTCAAAGGAAACCTTTAATCGGTTACAAAGCAGAACCAAATTTAGATAAAGCGCAGTCACATATGTGTGTTAATTCAGGGGAAACTCTGAATGAGGTTTAGCAAAATACAATCTGTGGTAGGCAAGCAAAGAAGCAGTTGCGGCCCAGCTTCCTTTCCTCTCCCAATCCCAAGCCTTGTCATAGGCTCCAAAGCTGTGTTTCCACTGAAGTTCCAAACGGAGTCGGAACAGTCACAGCTGGACTCCACTGTTTGAAGACGGCGTTGACTTTAAGGCCTGGTCTCACAAGTAACAGGTTCTTCGGCCCCCACAGCTTTTGTCCATTCCTACTTATGTCTCCAGGCATTTCCCGTCTAGAGCAATGGTACAAAGGAAGAAAATAAGTGTTGTAGAATACTGTAGCAGGGAAACATTTCCTATGTAAATAAGTAACAAAACAATCGAGTTTAGTCTCATGCGAATTTTGGTTTTTGCTTTTGTGGAGGCAATTCTATTAAGTTTTCTTCAGATAACTGACTACTTCTCTAAGACGAGTGTCTATTTTTTATTGAGACTGTATTTACGGTAGTTGGTGATTCTAGAAAATACACTAGAGTTTTAGTATAATAAAACAACAAGGCATGTCAGAATTTTGGTGGGTTTTTTTTTTCACATTTTTGAGTGCCTGCTGAAGTGAATTTGGTAACTAAGGAGATATGAGTGGAAACTTTAGCGCTAATATCCATGTCCCAGAGTTTCAATTTCTTTTTTTTTAGGAAAATGAGAATAATAATAATAGCAAGATTTATTTGGGATTTAAAAAGAGCTGGCATACTAAAAAGTGCCCAGTACAAGGCCTGCTTCCTAGCATTGCTTGCCAGAACCAATGGTATAATTTTAGGCTTATTTTTCATCCCCTTTGAAAGGAGGGAGAGTCAGGTCTGTGTTAGTATATTGTGCAGTGACAGCGGTGATGTTCCAAGGCCCAAACGCATGTGATTTCCTACTGCACGGAGAGAGTTGTGGCTGGCGTGTGCTGCAGAGATGCTCAGATCGTCCCCCCCACTCCGCCCAAGGAGACCCAGCTCTGGTCTCTGCCCACTGTGTGGAGTTCAGTGCCAAGCGAGTGAAGAATGAATATGAGCATTTCAAAATAATAAAGCAGGATGAGCCAGGAGAATTAATAAAACTGAGGTTATTTCTTCTGAAAAATAAATTTCATGATCTGCTTCATGGTACGTTTCATTTTAAGAAACAGGCTTACATTGTAAGCTGATTTTGGATTAGACACAGCAAACAACCTTTTTATGTAAAGCTACATAAACTCCTCCTTATTTTTCCACCCCTCCACCTTAAATTTACAGTGTCACTCTGGGGGAAAAGAAAAAGCAATTTTGCATGCAGCATAGAGACAGAGAAATATGAGTGGAAGGGTTGGGGAGAGAAAAGATGCATTAGAATTTTAATTATTTGTCATATCTCAGAGAAGTAAAAAGAATCAGACTAATACTATATATGTATATATATATGTATATATATGTGTGTGTGTGTGTGTGTATATATATATATATAATTACCAAAATTGAAACAAGAAGTAAAAAAAATTTGAATTTATCTTCTTTGTATAATTACCCCATTAAAGGAAGAATATAATTTTCTGGATGCAGTTTCTTTTCTCTCTCTCTCTCTCTCTCTCTTGCTCTCTCTCTCTCTCCTCTCCCTCTCTCAGTTTAAAATAGCAAACCTGGCTAACCAAAGATAATCCTTGTTAGTGTTAAGAAGAATTAGTTTTGCAGCTGCAAGAAAAATATAGATAGAAATGAAGCTTACAACACGCTCCTTTAAATAGGTTCCTTCATTTGGGTGTACCTTTTGCTAAAGTGGAATGTTCTAATTTTTCCCTTTTTTCCTGAGTAGACATAAAGGTTAAAATAAGGAAGCACTGAGAGGCATTTTGCTCATCCTTGCACAGGGAGGGGAAGAGGGGATGAGTCACTTCTCTCTCTCTCCGCCCTCCAATCTGTCCTCCCAGTGGTCTCCCTGCAGCAAAGTTGGATGAGCTTTATCAGACAACGGTGCTACCCTGGGAATTTGTTCCAGGCCAGTCAGAGCCCATAAGCAAATGCAGGAGGTGTGAGCAGGGCCTGGAGCCGCTAGCTCCTCTTCTCACTTTACACCAGTTTGTGCTGAAGCACCAAGCTTGAGAGCAGAAACAAAAGAAGATTCTAAATGTAAATGTCATCTTTTATTCATTACCTCTCTCTCATTCCATAACTGATTTTCTAAGTGGAATTTAAAATAAATATGAGAATAAGTTTTCCACTGGTGGCTGTTCCTTCCCCCCTTCTGGTATCCCTATATTTCGGATGTTGGAGCATTTAAAGATGTCCTGGAGGTTTCTAAGACTCTCCTCATTTTTTTGAATTCTTGCTTCTTCACTCCTTTCTGTTTGGCCATGGGAGGAGGAGAAGGGGGAGAAGGTACAGAAAATAAGTAGCATAGATGGTAGATAGAAAATAGATGGGGGGGGCAAGAATAGTATGGGAAATATAGAATCTAAAGAACTTGAGACACATGGTCATAAAATAAAGGGGGGGTAATGGTGGGGACGGGGGGTACAGTGGAGGGGAATAAAAGGGGAATAGAACGACTATAATGGCATAATCAATTTAAAAAAATAAAATTTAAAAAAAATTAAAAAATAAAATAAATACGAGAATAAATGGAAAGAGATCAAAAAATATAACTGTACCTCTGAACTGCACTTTAGTAAGTGGGAGTAAAAATAATCTCAAAGATAATTAAAATATCTCAATGGGTCAGAACTCAAAATCTTACATAGTGCACCATGCATGATGAGAGTTTTAAAAGATGTTTACATGTTGGATGTTATGGAACCTGATATAAAGTCTATAGAGTTCTTATGGTAACAAAGACAATATAAAATAGGAATAATATTGTATAGCAGGTGCTGATTGCATGGTCTCATTTAGTGCACACGGCACCTGTGATAAATAGATGTTCACACAGCTATTATGGTGTTATGGCGGTTGGGCGTGTCTAGATTTATTGTTTTAACCTATGTCTTTAAGAGACATAATATTCTTTATCCTTAAGAACTTCATGTCTGAAGAACATCATTATTCAAAATCTTAAAATCATAGATTTTTAAAGGTAAATGAAATTTTAGAGTTATCTTAGCCATACTCCTTTATTTTGCATATATAATAATATAGGGAAAATACATAGCTTCTTTTTCTCTTTATTTTTTAAGATTTTTAAGTTTATCTTTAGAGGGGAAGGGAAGGAAAGGAAGAGAAACATCAGTGTGTGGTTGCCTCTCATGCTTCCCCTGCTGGGAACTGGCCTGCAACCCAGGCATGTGCCCTGACTGGGAATTGAACCACCATCTTTTGGTTCGCAGGCCCGCGCTTAATCCACTGAGCTACACCAGCCAGGACATAGCTTCTTTAGAACCACAAGACTAGAATCCAGAGCTCTAGTCGGTTTAACCATTCTCTATTCGGATTCCCATTCTGTTTTCAACTTTGATCCCACATCCCTGCAAAACAAAACAAAACAACCAAAAAAAACCCCAATATTTTTCTTGAGCTGTTGACAAAGTACTTCCTTACGAGAAGTCTTAAAAGTGATACTAATTCCTGTCACGTGGCCATAACTGGATTGAATGCAAATCCATGCAGAGATTTTTAACCACTTGTGATTTTTATTTCCCACATATCCATTCAGCAGCTAATCACAGATCTCATAGCTTTGGTCCAGCTAATGTAAAATATCTGATTCCTTTTTTTTCATAAAGTGGTGGGTTACTGAAGATTAGGTTAAATGAACTCAAATCCCTCAAAGAACAATGGTATCTGCATTTAAAAAACAAAAAAGAGATGAAGGGAAAATGGTATCATCTGTCAAGCACAGTCCCAAGCATCACAAGCCAAGCTCATAAAAACTCAGAGGACAGGGACAATACGTTTATCATTGTCTGCTTTTAGAAGCACCAAGTCCGTCAGTTTGAATCCCCACAGCCCTAAAACGTCAAAGGGGATTGAAGGTGTATAACTGAGCAGATAGATTGATAGATAGATAGATAGAATTAGGAATAAAAACTTCTAAAATATATACATCAACTTTGTATAGGTTTCCACTAAGTAGAAAGGATAGTTTGGACACAAAAAATAGCAATGATAGGTGTGACAACAAAATCCTTGAGTAACAATCATTATCTAAAGAAACAAAAACAAGTTTGTTTTATTTATCTTTGAGGTTTGCATGAAGATAAAATTTTATTAATTTTATACTACCTTAACATTAACTTTAACACAGAAAACAATTTGGAAGGCTATGGGAAATGCATATTAAATAAATTTTTTCCTTAGGCTCAATAGCCCTGAATATATTAATATAAAAATAAAGTGACATATCTGAAAATTATTTTTAAAACTCCATTTGGGCTTCTGTGTAGTCACGAAATACCACCATGGTTTCAAGGTTATTCTGTTCTGCTGCTTGGCTCTGTTCTTTCTGAGAAAGCTGTTCATCCTTTCTGCGTCTCAGTTTATTTACCCATGCAATGGAGACGATTGCCATGCTTTTACAAGCTTATTAGAAGAGTAAATTTTAAAAACCATATGTGAAAACAGATACAGTATGTGCACTGTATCTGAAAGCGTGTTCACCTCGTGTGAGTCTTTTCCCCACGGGAGAGCCCAGAGTCCCGGAATGGCACCCTCTGTGTTTCATAGCTGCGGAATAAGAGCTAGGAGGCCTGCATGCAGCGTCAGCTCTGCCACTAAACACCTCCTGTGTGACCTCGGCTGCTCCGTCTGCCTAAAACAGAAGTCCTCCTTAGGAGGTCAGTCTAAGAGAGAATGGACTTTGATTTTGTTCGCTCCTGTAGGCTCTCAGAACATCTGTCGAAGGGCTGAATCTAATAATGTAAAGATCGCAGTAAATCATTGATTATAGGCCCCAGCTCTAGGCAGCCCCGGGGGAAATGCTTCACCATGCATTAGTTACGTGACCTTGAGCAAAGGTACTGTCTCTGATTTTTGCTTTCCTCTACAGTAAAATGGCACTATAAAAGCACTTAACTTTTTAAGGTGATTTGAGGATTCAATGAGATAACACATCAAAAGTACTTTGAATGTTTCAGGCCACATTGTGAGTCCTTCAAAGAGTGGATTTAAATATTCATTATTGTTATGACAGAAGGGAATTCCAACATTCATGACTTCCTCTACTGTGGTTTTTAAACACTTGTGCCCGCGTGTCAGCACATTGACTGACAAAATATTCTGTGTTGTGCTGATCCTGTCGGGGTGGCCCTGCTGGTGTGACTGCCATTGGGAAGTGTCACTCGTAATTCTCTTTTCTCGAATTGTAAAAATTTGGCACTGCTGAGATCCAAACCCAACGACTAGATCTGTGAAATGTGGACTAAGGGATGGTGCCCCGGTACCTGGATTCGGAAGCCCCGGATCCGTGCCATTCCCATGTTCCCAGACATGATGGAGTCACAGCTTTCATGAAAACATTTACTCCTATTTACACAGTTTATAAATGTCCACAGATGCAGTGAATGCGATTTATAAATGTTCCACTATTTTGACTCCCTTCCATGTTAATATAAGAGTAGTTTTACTGTTTGTGCAATCGTTATTATTGGCTATATTTTTGAGTAGCCCTTGGGAACTTCCAGAAAGTTGGTATAGATTTAATACATAGCATTGTTTTCAAAAACATGCATAAACATACACATACAAACACTCACAAATGTGAAAAGGACCAATATATGTACCTATAAGAGCAATTTAGGAACCAAAAACTATTCCTGGAAAGATTTCTGATTTTGAGATCATATACCATTAATCTGTTTTTAAAATGTAGATGTTTAATGTCATAGATGTACAATTCACAATTAAAACAAGGAAAAAATATTTTAAATAACATTTATTCTAGAGAGAAAGAGCTAGGTATATAATTTGACTATAAAATGAAAGCCTTAAAATTTCAAGTTGAAAAAGCTCATGCTGGTATAAACATTCCAAAGACATGAAATTCTATCCAGAAAGTATCCAGTCATGTAATATGCAAAACGGACATTTATTGAAGAAAATAAAAGATATAAGAAACATTGTACATAGAACAATGTACATAGAATGTCTCAGTCCCTTTCAAAGTAGGCACCTTGGGACCTCACACAGTTCTGCCAATAGCCATCAGACCCCCATCATATTTTCCTTAATCTCATCGATGGTCTGAAATCTCTTCCCTTTCAAAGGTGATTTTAGTTTTGGGAAAAGCCGGAAGTCACGGGATGCCAAACCTGGGCTGTAGGGGGGCTGAGGCACCTGGGTGATTCGATGCTTCACCAAAAAAACTCTGCTGGGGATGTGATGCATGAGCAGGTACATTGTTGTGATGAAGCTGCCACTCACCAGATGCCCAGAGCTGTGGCCTTCTGAATCGTCTGAATAGTTTCCCTGGGGGAATGTTCAAGTTTAACACAAAATTTGATGCAGATTTGTTGCTCTACTTGCTAGGGAATTTTGAATGTGACAGCCACACAGTACATATGCTCACTCAACAGCCATCTACCATCCTCGCTGAGTAGAAGAGAGAAGTTTTCATTGTTCACACATGTGGATGCCAGTCCACTCTCCTTGGCTGCCAGGTTATATCAATGTTGTGGAAACCATTCTTGTTATATTAAGAATGGCTGGACTCTTTCTGGACACCTCATACTCTTACAATTGATCTATCCAGGATAACCTTTGATTTTTTAATAGAAATATTATTTGAATCCTAACGATTTAATTAGTATTGTATTAAAAGAAGAACACAATGTTCCTAGTTACCTTGATAATGTAAACCAAAATATAATTTTGTCTTATACCTGGATCTTTCTAGTGAAGACACAAATTATTCAAAATTAAGTAATTTACCCATCTTTTTTTATATGTGGAAATCAAAATTTCCTAATTTGAAAAGTAAATAAACACATAAGTGATCACAGAAAATGTCTTTACTGACATTCTATTATTTTACAGATTCCTCCTCAATTTCCTGTCCACATTCCTGCCAGACTCATAGTTCTAAAATTGTAGTTCTGATGATGTCATTTCTTTTTGTGACTCTCAATATACAATTCAAAAAATGTTATAGCATGGTCCCAGCTTTCTATCCAGCTTTCTTTCTCCCTCATTAATAAATATACCTTGTGTTTAGTTGCTGGGAGACTATTAACGATTCTAATAACTAATACCTCAAGCATTTCCACGCTCCTCTCACTACATGGAATGATTTCTTTTTTATACTTGGACACCTCTATCCATTTTTTAAGGTTGGGTCCAGTTTTATCCACATTGTGATTATAATATTCTCTATATCTGCTAAGTTATTATATTATATACACATACCATTGTGCATTGTATACATTATTAATTATATACATGTTGTTAACTTATGTATTGAGCTCACAGAATATTTGAACAATCAGTAAGAGCAGTGTCCTTACAGGTGCTATTACAGTTGCCTTTTTGAAAAATAAGGCTTTTATTTAACACTGTTTTATAGCTACACAAAGATCTGTTTCTAAGTTGAATTTAGTATTTCTAAATATGTTTTATATAACTCCTATGACTGAAAGAAAACCTTTAAATATTATATTGATCCAAATTAAAAAATGATTTGTCAATTATGCTTACATTATTAGCATATTTATTTATTTACCCTCCCTCAGTTTTGCAGAGATTTTTGTTGAAATTGAGCTGCTAAATCATTAGTTTCTTGATGCCATGAAATGTTTTTGAAAATTCATTAGGAGGTTTGCAATATTGTGTGTTGAACAAAACCCAATGAAATCATTCATCAGAAGTTTTCAAAGGTTCTGTTTCTAAATGTCTCAAGCCTAAAAGAAAGGAGCACTTTAATATATGAAACACTTAGAATATTTTTAGGGTATATCAGAAAACATTTCCAAACATTCGCTTTTTAAATTTCTTGCTATGAATTCCTTTTTTTGAAATAGCAGTTGTTTTCTTAGTCATTGATAAAATAAAGTCCTTATCTCAAAAGTGGCAATTACGTTTATTTAGATGAATATCCACGAGGCAGCCTGCTGCTGACACCATGGTTTTTTGCTTCCGATGCCTCCAAGGGAGAGTTCAGAAAAGCTCTGCCATTTTCTTGTCTGCGTGTGCTTGCAATTCATAGTCCACCGTCTTCTTACAGGAGACTTTCTAAGCCCTTTGCTCATGGTACTAGTCTTTGCTTAATTAAAAATAGATCATGTACTTGGTAAACCAGGCTCATGTAAACTGAAACGCATTGGAAACTAAGAACTTCAGGATGCCACGCATTCCAGATACACCTCATACTCATGAGCCTGGACCATCAGGGCATTGCATATATCCACTATATTAAAGTTTCTTCCTTTCCTTATTTTTCAAAATGAAAATAATTTGTTTAATACTCAGAGGAAACCAATCATTTTTAAATCCATAATTGTATGGAACTGTGTACCTTTATGATAGCTCTTATCTTTTGGATTTTAGTATTTTACACATTGACAAAATATAAAGTTTTCTTGGGCAGGGGATTAATTTTTGAATCTTAATAGAGAGCACAGTACTTGTATATAGATAATGGCGAACACATTTTGTTAAATGAGTGAGTAAATAAATGGATTTGTTTCACTCTAACATAAACACTCAACTGTACTTACTAATGCAAACGTATCTAATTTTTGCAGGCACAGGCCCAATATGGCTGAATGAAGTATATTGTTTTGGGAGAGAGTCATCTATTGAAGAGTGTAGAATCCGACAGTGGGGTGTGAGATCCTGTACCCACAAGGAAGATGCTGGAGTCACTTGTACTGTATAATGTATCATGTTTCATCCATATTTATGAAATCATTGAAGATGATTTTTATTACTTTGCTCCACTAAAATCAGTTTAATGAACATTTAAGAGATTAAGAATATTGTCAAAGGACAAGGAATACTGGAAAATCACTCGATAAACATATCAAAGACCTTCATACTTACTACATGTCTGTTTTTGAAGCATTTTAACATCTACTTTGTCAAATGGAATTTTATAATGACATATAGTGAATGGAAAATACTGAAGTTCAAGGCTTCTAGATTACAAATATCAGTAATATGAACACAAATTTCAATCAATGGTTCCAATTTATATTTTCACCATAAGATTGTAATTTTTGTCTTCTTTGTAATCCAGTTGATTTTAATTTAATTGCTTTCTGCATAGTGAGGTTGAGAAAATTTCTCAAGTTTGCAAAATCTTCAATCCATACATATTTTTTAAAAAGAATCTTATCCAGCCATCAAGATTTCTGATGAGCAATAACTCAACTGTTATAAATATAACAATCTAAATGATAAGTTTTGGCTATGTAAGATTTTTATCAGAAGGTTTACATGCTCACCCACTAACATGGTCTATAATAACACGGTTAATAACGTAGTTATTTTACATGGTCATGTATTGACAGGTTTTTGTTTGTTTTTGCTGAATCACAAAGTGAGTTGAAGCAGCACTTATGAGAAAAAGCACAGGCCCACCCTTGCTATATGTGTCTGAATAATAGGTGGATCAAAAAAGTCATCTCCAAACTGGAGCTTAGATTGTTACCCATTGAATTTAAGTTGAATAATTACATTGTTACAATTCTAACAGACCATGTTTAAAATGCAAATACATCTACTCAACGTACTCCATTTAAACTCACAGCATGCAAGTGTCTTAAATGCAGAAGGAAGTGTCAACTGTGCTTTGGGGTCTTTCATGAAGTCCTCCCTGCCTCCTGCTACTGTGCTGTATTTATATGGCATCAGTGTAGCTATGCTAAAGCTACGTTTCCCAAATTTTCTTCCCCGTGTTGTCTGATTTATCACGGACCACAGAAGACATTTTGCATGGGGTTGGGCAGCCGAGTGTTGAGCCTCTCTCTTTGTGCTCAGGAAGCCACTGCAGGGGCAACCGGGCACTGGTGCAGCCCACACAGGCTGCCCCTGCTCCTCCCACTCGCCTGGTCTGCAGGAAGGCAGTGCCAGCACCTCCCCACGGTCCTTCTGGAGCCCCTGTCAGCTTCTCATACTCCTTGGCTGGGTGCATATTCAGCTCCATGATGAATTCACCACCTTCTCGTGAGGCCACCTGAACCGTCAAAGCTGGAAGCAGTGAGAAATTAGTGCAGGTTCCAGCACCAATCCTCACGGGTTCCGTTCTGTCCTTGCTCTCTCCCAGGTCATGTCCATCTTCCTTTCTAACGTGCCACCCTGCGGATTTCAGATGACCCAGCACCAGGCACAAAAACAACAAACTTTTCTTGGACTGCTGATTAAGCAACTAAAACACACAATTGCACAAGGTCAAATATCTTGAAAGGTACAAAGGGAAAGTAGCTCTGGACTTGGAGACAGCAGGCTTAGTCAGGACAAGAGAATATAGGGCATTGAAGAATTGCAGTGAGCTTGATATTTAGAATCTTCCAGTTTACAAAGAAATGAAATCATTTTTAATTATATTGGCAGTTGAACTGTGCTATCTGGAGGCAGTGCTATGCCGAGCGTGAAACACACGGATGCAGGGTTTAAGAGCATTACATTAAGTATCAGACCCTTATGCTGTAGGTTTCCTACAAAAATGTCAAGTACACAAGTGATTTTTTAAAAAGGGAAATTACTATATTATTGTTCACAACTCTAAAATTGAATCTGACCCTTAAAACTCTTTGGGGTCCCCTGAATGAAAAACTTGAGAATTGCACTCCCAGCTAGAGTAATTTTAGGTTATGAGGGGAAAAAAAGACTGAAATACGTTTGTTAATCATCCTCCAAGAGCTTCCCCAGGGCCAAGTACCCGCACGTTCGATGAGACCTGTAGAACATTTCAATTATTTAAAAAAAAAAGTCTTTGATGCTTCATGTTTACAAGATTTGCCTAAAAGGACTGGTAATGTTAATGACATAAATTATTCTTTTATTTTCTTTTGTGAAATTCATAAAATAGTTCTCTTCTAAAGGTTGAAGGTAGAGTAATGTGAAAACACAGCTACTATTATGAACAAGGTCTTATTAGGGAGGACAAGGCCTGCTTTTACTTTCAGAGAATCAATTATCGTACATTTGAGTCAGCTGCCAGAGTGATTAGAGGGGTTAAAGGGATGACCTGGGAGAAAAAAAGAGAGATCGGAAGGAGGAAGGAAGCAGAGACATTAGGAAGGAAGGAAGAGAGAAAGAAAGAAGGAAAGACAGAAGAAAAGAGGTTCAAGGAATACCACATTTGCTAATTATCACTTCATCCTATGTTGAAAGTTTTGAATTAAAAGGTAGGTCAGTTTGTGATATTTTAAAACATCTTATGTTAAAGAAATGAGGGGATAAATTAATTGGGAAAAAAATGGCTCTTGGGACTGTAGTAGTAGAAGACAAATATTTCTATCTTAGTAATTCAAATCCGAAAGTTCACTTCCGACTTAAAAACAGAGTTGTATTTTGTATTACAGGTAGTAAGGGAGTCAATAAATTTAATAAAACAGATTTATCGTACAAATACTTCCCACCAGTGGCCGTGTACTCAAATTACAGGTGGGAGAAGATTCCACCTGCAAACTTGACTGTGTTTACGTGGAGACGCAACATTTCCTGTGCTAGAACACCATTGGTTCTGTTTTTCATTTTAAAAGAGAATTGTATAAGAGAATTTACATTCTCTTTGTAAAACAGAATGTAAAAAATCTCATTGTAAAAGGGAATTACAATATTATCTTCTAATCATTAACACTGAGAAAGTTTATAGCTTATTAAGATAAAGCACAAATGCATAATGTTCTCAGTAGATTATGATTTTCTTATAGAGATAAAACACGTAATTTATTGTTATTGTGTGTCTTCTTCATGAATAGGACAGCGGGGTCATTTCACAAACGGGCTAGTATTTATTAGAGATCTGTAGGATGTGGTCGGTGTAGCAGGCAATCAGGGGAAGACTCGTGTTTTGGTCCTGGCTGTGCCTCTGGCTTACTGCATATTCTTTAGAGAAGTTGTTTTACCTCTACTCCTGAAATCCCAGTAAACAAGATAGGAATGATTATATGTGGCTCACCTGGCTTAAGTGCGATTGTAAGAAACAGAGGTAAACATAAAGTGCAAACCAAAGTCATTCGTTTTCCAGGATCCATAATATTTACTAGCTTCCCCCACAGTTCCTGTTAATACAAACCTTGCATTCTGTTGGTTACTTTTGCTTTCTCAGCTGTGATGTTGTCATTTTGATGTGACTTGAAGACCCCCACCCATTACAGCTTTATTAGGGTTCAAAATGGGATAGTGCTCTGTAAATGAAAATAGAAAGTTCATTGTGTATCTAGAACTTTTAATTTACTCAGATCTTTAGGCAGGGAGAAATGCCATGTGACCAGCTCAGTCTAATTTAGCGAAGACATTATCTCGGAAATGAAAAGGCATATAAAACAGTAAGGGGAACATTTCCAAGGCTGTGGGGGTCCTTGGCTCGTCCAGTGTAGACGGCCAGCTCTAGGCCTCCATAGACGTTCAGAGAAAGAAAAGAAAAAGGGGAAAATGAGGAACGTCCACAGGCCGATGCTACAGGGCGCCACAGCAGAAATCCCAGGTCAAGAAGCTTTGGCGAACATGGCCCCTGAAGAATCTACTCTCCCCCAGGCTTCCACAGCTTCCTTCCCTTTACTGAGCAGGTTTCTCTCTTCTCATCAATTTTCTCCTATCCCCACTCTGTTTGTTTGTTTGTTTGTTTGTTATTTTCTTTTTTTTAAATTTTATTTAGTTATTTTTCAAGTACAGTTTTTTGTCTATTTTTCCCATCCCAGCCTCCCCTGCCCCTTGCTCCCCACCTCCCTCCCCTTTTCTCCCCCCCCCCTAGTTCTGCGTCCCTGTGTCCTTCCTATTTGTTCCTCCAAATCCCTCCCCCCTTTTTTCCCCTTAACTTCCCTTCCTTTTCCCCTCTGGTCACTATCCCCTTGTTCTCTATTTCAGTGTCTTTGTTTTTTGGGTTTTTTTTTTTTTTCTGCTTACTTGTTTGTTTTGTTGTTTAGCTTCCTGTTAAAGGTGAGATCATATGGTATTTGTCTTTCAGCACCTGGCCTATTTCACTCAGCATAATGCTTTCCAGTTCCATCCATGTTGTTGCAAAGGGTAGTAGCTCCTTCTTTCTCTCTGCAGCATAGAATTCCATTGTGTATATGTACCACAATTTTTGGATCCATTCATTTACTGATGGGCACCTAGGTTGCTTCCAACTCTTGGCTATTGTAAATTGTGCTGCTATGAACATTGTGGTGCATAGGTTCTTTGATATTGATGTTTTAGGATTCTTAGGATATAATCCCAGCAGTGGAATTGCTGGGTCAAAAGGCAGGTCGATTTTTATTTTTCTGAGAAAAATCCATACTGTTTTCCATAATGGTTGTACCAGTCTGCACTCCCACCAACAGTGAACTAAGGACCCCGTTTCCCCACAACCCCTCCAACATTTGTTGTTTGTTGCTTTGTTTATGATAGCCATCCTGACTGGTGTAAAGTGGTATCCACTCTCACTTCTAAAAAAGGTCTGGGGTTTAATTTAAAAGCTGTTGGGTAAAGCTGGCTAGTCTGAGCGAATTGGAGCCAGGGCCTTAATCCAAGCCACTTGCTCCTTGTGTTGTGAGCCAGCACCTGACAGAGAGTACATCCCAGTCCAGCTGGGGAAAGTTACGGAGAAGCAAGAAACAAGAAAAAATACACTCGAGCCCTTCTTGGGAAGTGGTTATGACCTAAAGGAGAAGAATGTGGTTTGCCACAGAGGAGAGTTTTAAAAGCAGTGCCACAAAAAAAATAAATAAATAAAACTTGAACCACCTGAGTAGAACACAAAGTTGTAAACAAACCAACACTTTGCTGGAAGACCCAAACCTGCAATTTAGGAGCCTTTAACTGGATATAGGAGACACCTGGGAGCTGCTGTACAGCCACAGGAAGGGAAGAGACATCTAAAGATGACAGTGGCTAGAACAAAAGCCGCCTATCTGCAGGCTTGATGGACTAGCGATGTGCAATACCAGGCATCTGTTTAGCAGCATAAGGGGCCTGTTTTAGCTGAAGGGGACACTTCCCTCTTCCTTTGCAGCAATTTTGAGCAGGTCACAAAGTCTGGATTGAAGTGTCACAATGCCACTAATGAAATTAAGCAAGCCAGGGACACTTTCTATGCTTAACATTTTTCATGTTTAAAATAATGTACTTATACCTAGGCTCTCTACTTCACAGTGTCACCATTGCAGTAGGTTAGATCCTTATATGAAAGTCTGTGTAAGATGCATAGTCTAATAATGTTTCCATTAGCCGTATTGTTCTTGTTGCCACCTAGGAAGAAAAGGTGAGAGATGCAGAAGAAACGCTTCTACTTTAGAATCAAGAAATGAGTCTGATTTAGTATAATTTTGAGTATGGAATTATACATATGTGCAGGGTGAATTTTTAATATATGATAATATTATAAGTTCCTTAGCCGTGCTGATTAGTCATTTTGGCATAACTACCTTGCTTTGTTGTGTAATTCATGTTACAACATTGCCAGGTGCCAGCATAGTTACTAGAGACTCTGCTTTGATTTGCATACTGTTCTTTAAAGGCTGAAGCAAGATGCACCTTGGTAGGTGTATATAAGAAGCACAGCATTGCATGGAAACTTTTAGGGGAAGAATTTGGGGCACAGAACCTCATGGCCAACTCCTCCCTCACTTACCAGTAACTCCTGTTCCCAGGTCTTGTGGTTGGTGCTGGATCTACCACAAACGAGTTTAACTCTATAAAAGTCAACCGGTCATCGTCACTTTTCCCATCTGTGTATACGGGAATAATAAACGTACTTACAGGTCTGTCAGTAAAATTAATGAAATAATGTGAGAGCCATTGAAGGTATGTTGGCGTTATATAACAGGTCATTTAGAAAGAGGGTTCTGTCAACATCGAAAGACAATCCTAAGGGGAGCTCCATTATAAGCTTTAGTAATAAGGACAACAGATAGAGTTACAAACTCTGTAACATTAACTCTTGGGGGGTCCACATTAACTCTTGGGGGATGAAATTCTTGCTCCCCACCCCTGAAGTCTTAAAGATACACTTTTATAACATGAAAGTCTGCAGTAGAATGCTGATTTAAGCAGTTCATCATTGTGAAGGATTATAAGTATATTTTTATAGTAGTGAGAAGTTTTTTTAGATCTGGATATCTTTGTATGTACATATATTTAACTCCAGATCCATACTTAATTACAAAATAGGAGAAGAAGCTGTGTAGGTAATTTTTTTTTTGCTCTTGTAGCCTGAATGGGGGCCGACTTGTAAAGTGACTAAATCCTTTATTTTTACATGAAACAGATCGAGTTCTGTCTCCTCACCAGCAAAGGGAGGTGCAGCCCCCTTGCAGGCTCTCCAGGAACCTTACTGGAGTGAACAGTGAGAACCGAGTGTCTAACCTGAGATTCCCTTTCCTCCTTCTTAGTTCTCTGGTGTTCCAAGAGTAGGTTTCCTCTCCTGCATGGTCTCACTATGGGCACCACTCAAATTCCACTGTGCCCAAAATATCACAAACACAAACCCTGAGGATAGAGTCAGATTAAGATTCCCAATAATCTAAGCAACTCAGGACCCAATATGAAATATCTAGTTGTTGATGTGCCCCAACCCTGGGACAATCTCATTGGCCAATTTTACCTCCCCTTTGCTTCCTGGATCCCCCACCTTTCCTCCACCCCCTTTCCATTCTCTCAGGCTCTAACTCAGCACCCAAGGCTTAGGACTTGTTTGAGCATTGCAGGTCTTCATTTTATTTTATGTTTTCACTGTGTCCATGACTAAGGAGTCTTACTTTCCTCCTCTAAATCTTACCTAATAATTACCTAATAATACCTAATAATCAGGTAAGAATACACTTACCTAATAATTATTCTCTCTAAGAAGATGTTATGAGCAACTAAAACAATATTTTTCCCTTCTTACAGGTCGGTTTAAAAAGAAGAACATTACTATACATTTACTAAGAAGTCAGAATAGGCAGGGATGTAGTTACATACTGTGGGTAGAACCGAAGGGGATAAGATAAAACTGGTAAATAAGAGATGGACAGGAAGAATCATCATGGACACGGAGGTATTGAATTTATTATTCATAATCTGCACAAGGTTGTGGCAAGTAAATAGGCTCTGTTACTTAATGACTTAGTCTGGCCAGCTACTGAAATAAGAGTGAACATATGTAAGAAGCCCATTCCCCACCAAGCAGATGTGACCTAAATCATAAACAGAGCTGTAAGCCTGGTAAACTGGCCTGTTTCCTGATAATGCTGAGTGTCGCTGTGCCTCAAAAGATTGCCTTCTTACTACTCCTACTGCCCACACTAGCCATATTACTATGTGCTTGCCTCAGTGATGGTGCTGTGCATCATCCCTGCCTGCCTTGAGTGGGTGGGGGTGCCTCCTGGGACCCTGACCAGTTTCCAAGGGTCTTATGGTTCCCATTTGTTCACACCAGCACCCTCTCTCTTTTGGTCCAGCTGGGTCCTCTGGTCCAGGAATCCTAATGTGTCTCTGCCCATACCCAGAGAGACCAGGAAAACCATAGCCCTTCCATCCTTATTTCTGGTATTGTGACATATTATGTGGACCCAATGAAAGCATCAGCCTGTTTGTGTGCCCCATGCAGCAGTCAGAAGGGGGGGCTCTCTCTACCCACTCCCTATCTCTCTTGTGCCACAAACTCATTGATTCCATAGTATCTCTCCCACTATCATTCAAAACCAGTTCAATTCCTTTATCACTTTATTCTATAGCTAATATAACACATAATACCACAGTCCAGTGCTTCTGAACAATG